AAAATGCTTATGTTTCAGAGCTGTGTAGCCATATTTACATTGAACCTTATGGGGAAATTTGCCTCATGGTGCGACCAAATTTGGAGGGCGGATTAGCCGTATTTACATTGAACCTTATGGGGAAATTTACCTCGACTTGAGACCAACTCAAGTTGCAACCAGAGTCACGGAACGGATTAAGTTCATAACTAGACGTACCACTGTAGTTTAATAGCCATGTGTCTAGGACGGTGTTTCTCAACCTTGGCAACTTTAAGATGTGGAATCCTGGGAGTTGAAGTCCACACATCTTAAAGTTGCCAAGGTTGAGAAACACTGGTCTAGAAGCTCAAGAGAAGCCATGCTCAATGATTAGCATTTCAGACCATTTACACACTTTCCCGGGTTTCTGTCTAAAAAGTGTTCAGCAAAATCCCAAATTCAGTGAGGTTTCCTTCAGCCAACTCCTTTGAGTAGCTTAATTATGCCCTTAATTTTCTGACTGGTTTGAATTGTTTTGTGCTTTATTTAATTTATTGTTACTTCCATGTAGGCTTTTTGCACCACTCCAAATCTGTTCTCATATCACTATCTGGGCTCAGCATCTGAGTTAATTTGTAGCTCATTTGCAATGAACCCCAAATCACAAAAAAATAGGTGTTTCAGTTTGCAACCTTTAAGGCCTGCAGAGTGCTTTCCCGTTGTTAGGAATGACTGCTTCACCCTATCTCCTGGCTCCTAAGCATCAGGCAGCATACATTTCTTTTGGGAGGCTTTTAAAGGGGAAAGTGGCTTGCTGGCTTTATATATCCCTGTTATTGCAAGTGACCAGATTTTTTTTTTCCATATAGTCATACTGCATATAGCACACCTACTATATGGTATGCAAAATGTAGCAATGGCATAACAAGTGTATGAACAGCCAGACTACTTCATCTTTTTCCCCTTAGCAACTGTCTCATGAACAAAGAGGTGCTAGCAATTTATTCTGAGGTTTCTTCCCTTTTGTGGGAAGTGAAGAGTGAGACTTCTGTTGCTCCACGACTATGTTTCTTCTGCTCCCCCACGAGCAACCTTCAGTGTCTTGCTCCTGTTGCATCATTTAGAATGTATCTTCCCCTCTCTTTTACTCTAGCTTCTGCAGCAACATAAACCATACTTACAACTACTGAGAAAATGCCTGATTGCAAAATTGCTAGTGTGCTATCTTTTCATCATTACCAGGTAGCAAGAGGACCTTAAATGCAACTGATGAATGATGGCTTGAACTCCTCCTTACAGCAGACTGATCAGATTTTTCCCCTTTTCTCTGCAAATATATACAATTTACTCTGGAAACATGGAGGGAATGAGAACAATTTCCTTTTTGCACTGCATGAGGGTTGATGGGATTTTTGTTGTTGCATTAGCTAGGAATAAGGCATTGACTAAACAATGTGTTTTGCACCCTCCTATTGATTAGCTGACACAGTGCTTTCTGTCTGTTCTCTGTGTTTGCAGGTTGGTAGAAATGAAGATGATCATGGATTGGCTTCAAGTCTTTATGGAGAGATTGGGAAATGGAAACATCATAGAAAGGCTCAAGAGCCTAAAGATACAAAGGTGAGCATATGCTGAGACAATCAGTCAATCAGTCAATCAGTCAATCCTTATCTCCCCTTCATTTCACTTCTGTCTCAGTAGATGGTAGTATCTGGTTGATCCTGCCTGAGTTTGGAAGCTAAGCAGTGTCAGGTCTGGTTAAGAGTTAGATGGAAGACCACCAGGGAATGCCAGAATGTAGGTTAGATTGGTAAGACTAAAAGCTTCCAAGAAGATGACAATAGAAAGCTGTTTCTATCCCTGAAGTCACCAGGAATGGAGCTCAGCTCCAATCATTAGTTTTTTCCTTTACCTCACCTATGGAAAAGAGCTTTGAAAAGCAACCACAGCATATGTTTTTAACTGAGAATATTTTGGGGACTCACTTGCTTGGCTTTATTCTACATAGGATCTTTAAAAGGTAACCAGAATGTTACCTGCCTGTGGAGAGCTGCTTACTATCCCCATGACTGAAAGCTTGTGTGTGCATATATACTGCCCCTAAGATGCAACACTGACTGTAATTGTTATAGGATGGTATAGCAGTCTGCTTTTTAAGTACCGTATAAACCAACGAAGGAGATTCGTATTTTATGGCTAGAAGCAAGATTTTTTGGCAAAGTTCACCATGTCATAAATGGATTTCTTTCTTAATATTAAAAAAAAAACATGAAGATAATGTTAGAATAGTACGATTTTTAATACATCCTGAAACTGGCCAACAAACAGTGCACAGCTGCATCTCTCATTCTCTTAACTTCAAAATAAAACACAAATATGGTGATTTTTTGCTGCCCTGTTCTCATCTGACCTTGCAGGATAACAATATTACCATGGGAAGAACCAAGGGTTTCACCCAATTCCAGAAACATTCCAGAAAAATGCATCTTCCATAAGAAACAAAGACGGTGCAATATATGGTTGTATATATAAACATTCTGCTTCATAAAAACCTCTCTCCATTTTGTTTTTTTGAGAAGGTAAAACTGAAGATTCATGACTCGCCTACCTGATTGGCATGGAAATTATTCAACCAGCGTTCAATATGGGTAGCATACCAGCCTGGTACTAGGCAACGGTTCTGTAAGGTCCGAAGCTTCTGAGAGGTCTCAGGCCCAGCTGTAATCACCTCGTGAAAGGTGTACTTCAGGGCAACTGGATCATCATGTGCCCGCTGATGCTATTAAGAAAGAAAGACATTTTGAGAGCCTGCTACTGAACAGCAACAAGAGGCAACCCAAGAAGCTGCAGGGGAAAGAGAGGAAGACACAAACAGAGAAACAGACAGCAATTAAGGAACACATGGGGCTGGGCAGAAGCTAGAATAAATCGAGGCATGGCACATCTAGAAAGCTGGATTTCAATGGTAAAGGGAAACTGTTGCTTCAGAGAGCCCTGCAGATTGGGGGGTGGGCAAAAAGAGCTTATCTGAAGACATAAGAGCTGTTGTTACTATATTTAATATCGATATTGCCTTTCCACCAATGCATGGATGCACTGAATAGTGCTTTAGGTCAAGAAGGCCACATCGCAATGGAGCAGCTTACCTGATACCAAGAGTAGGCCCGGTCCGCAGGATTGATGAGGATGGTGATTATTTTGGCCTTGGAAAGCAATGCAGCAGCCCGCCTTGGTGTTACTTCTGAATCAAAGTAATTGGCACTCTTCTCAAAATAGAAATCAGAAGTAGTGTTGGAAGGAATGGGGAAAAACTCCATATACCTTAAGAAATGTCAGCAGCAGAAAGGGAAAAATAGACCAGGTGAAGCAATGCAGAAATAGTTTCAAGTCCTTCCCAATGTCAATTGTTTATGTCACTTTAAACAGAGCAAGGATTAAGACACATCAAATGTTTGTTTCCAGCCCCAAACCATACTAGTCAAGAGATTTATTAGAATGTGACTGATTTTAGAACTTAAGCCTGAACAACTAATGAAGCATTCTTCTGGGTCAAAGAAATAACAGGCTGCAATTTATTACATTTCTGGAAAAGATTAACCGTAAAGTAAATGCAGCATGAACTACCAAACACAAGACAGACAGAGCAGCTGTTGATCACCATTCTTCCCAAGCAGACAGATAGGAATAAATAGTAAAGAGCTCATTTTGAGAAGGAGGGGGAAATGTTGCAACAGACATTAAACACAAAACCCTGTTTCCCTCGCTCACACCATAGCCCAGTAGAATTAACACATGTTTATGGGGCATCACTGCAGAAACCTGGTGCAGGAATCAGATAAAACTTGTGTAACAATTCTGTGTTTCATGTTTACAGGGATGGTCTGCTGACAAAGTAGTACAAGCAGCCTTACACCAGCTAATAGGTGTCTTTCTTCCACAATCTAAATCCAAAGGGAAGTTTGTCCCTTGCTTGCTAGACGTCCGTTTTGCTTTCAGAAAACTCCAGCAAAATAGATTAGGAAAAAAGATGACCCTGTTGCAAGGTGGTTCTTGATTCCTTTGCAGTGTCATTATGAGCCAGACTGTAAGCGCAAGGGCAGCTCCTCATTCATGCAACCTGGCACAAGTGTTGCTACAAACTGAAACCTACCAGTCAATGCCCTTGTGGTAATTATGTCCATTGAAGAACTGGATCTCTTCAAAGGTCTCCGAGCTGGGATAGTTACTGCTCAGGTCAGGGTGCATCCCCAGGAAGAGATAGAGGGCAGTGGTACCTTTTTGCAGAAGAAGAAAGGGAATGGGGGAGGGAGACAAAGAGCTAAAAACTGCTTTTCTGCCAAGCTTCTGCCAGAGTTTTATACTTTGGATCAGTGTTTCTCAACCTCAACAACGTTAAGGTGCGTGGACTTCAACTCTAGCATTCCCCAGCCAGCATGGGAATTGAAGTCCACACACCTTAAGGTTGCGGAGGTTGAGAAACACTGCTCTAGATTATGTGGGCTCTTACACTTCCAAGGATAAGTGGATTTGTTATATTCAGTCCTCAGTAAAAGTATTGAACACCAATACTTAGTACTCCAGGGCACTTCTCGATTACACCATATGGTGATATTTTATCCTACTATATAAATAAATGGCCTTTTTAACAGCTATCATCTCACAGACAGGAAAAAAAGTAAACTCATATGTAAAGCCTGAGCCTTTAACTTACATTTTCTTATTTCTGTCAGTCCTATTTGGCTTTGGCCAAATATTATCAGATTCATTTACATTAAATGTTTTTGGCAGTTGCTTCTTCAACTCTGAGGATGAATTATATTGCTGTTGTAAAAAAAAATTTCTCGCTCTCTCTGTAAAAAAATTGGGTTGAAGGGATGATGGTTTCTTTATTTTAACTCAGTTTCTTATGAACCATGAACACTTATGGGGGATGACAAATGGCAGCAATAATAACCGTTCAATGGCTCAGAAATTTTACTCACCATTACTTGGAACAGCCAATTCTCCTCACCCTGACAATAAGTTTAAGACTATGTTTGCTTATTCTGATAAGCCATAAGCTAATTTATTTGTTTTTGGCCTAGTGGATTGTACAAGCTCAGTCAACTATAGTTTATTCCATATATCATGGTTTAAAATGATATTGTAATCTAACCATTGTGATAGATTCAAGCATATAGCATACATCAGTTACTACCATACCTGTCTTCTGAGGACCAATAATTAGCAGCTTGGGGAACCGGTCACAGGTCTTCTCTTTGGACCAAATATCTTTGTGGCGTTTGTCCTCACATGGATCCTAAAATATGACAATATGCTGGGAATCAGCCAGGGCATCTATGGAAACTGGGTTTTCATACCCCAACTGTTCTTACTGAAGAAGTCCCTCAAAAGCCAGCAATTTCAGGTAATAGGAGGAAGATATTATCTTTTTCTCCACTAGTAGGCTAGGTCTGCTCCATACTTTGATGCTATAGTTTTTTGTGGCTTTTCGCTCTTAAAAAGGAAGAAAAAAATTACACTTTTCAAAACCAGGCCCTCCCTTCTCCAGGAAGCCAATATCATGATCTAATCATCAGAATACTTTTTTTGTAATCAGATATACGACTGAAACAGGTGACCAGATCAGATGTGTTGCTCATTAGACAGAAAGAGGCAAATCTTCTGCATACTGTTGCAGGTCCTCTACCACTACACATTTCACAGAATGTTATTTCACATCCGCCACTCTTATTGGGGAGTATTATGTAACAGACAACTACTCACCCAGATTTTCAAACCAAGAACAAGACAACAGTAAAACACAGTGGAAATGTTCTTGATGCATTTTGCAATGCAGGCCCAGGAAGACAATTAATGCACACCTGCCAAAGGGGGTCTTTTTCTTCGGAGAATATCTGGAAATACTTCTGTGCCAGCTGTACAGGTGGCAATGTCTGTAACTTCAAGTTAGTCCAGGAGTTTAGGAAACGGACCAAATGTCTAAAGGTGTACAAACCCAGACGGTCATTTCCATAATTGGAGAGATGGGTCATAAAGATACTGATCTGTGCAGGAGAGGGAAGAGAGGGGAAACAAGTCATAGATCAGTATGGTTACCATTTTACTTGAGGGATTTCATTACTTGCAGTGAAATACTAAACGTGAACAAAACATACATAATTGTCTATGAACTAACTAAAAACCACAAAACTGCTTTCCTGAATTAAGGGCCACACTGTTCTTGTCAGCTAACCAAACATCCAAAAGAAGTTTAAAAATCTGCCCATGATGGAGAAAAAAATCTTTATATTTAGGACCAGAAGTAAATTATCTTTGAATAACACACAGTCCATTTTCCATTAATTCACTTACATTTTTTAAAAACTTATTCTCCTTTACTATTTACCTACCATGTTTTCTGCAGAGAACAGTGTATCTGGGAGCTACTACTGCCCTTTTAAAAACATCCAGACTGATCAGCACACCTTGTGGCAATATGTTCCATAAGTGAATTAATGCTGAGTCAGAGAGTGCTTTCATCCATTCAGAATTTACTACCAACTTTAGTCAGTTTCCCCTTAGTTCTGATTTCCATTGATTTCAGAAAAAATATTTGACAGCCCTCGTAATTCTACATGCTTAACTTCTTTCTCAAGTTTCTTACCAAAAATAATCCTTCACTGGGTCCATACCGTGTAATAAACTAACAGATCAGGCAATTACCCAAATAAGGTTACTGTTCATGGCTGTTTAACTCTTATGCATACGTTCTTTCAGCTTCTGAATCACTTTTGAATCATATTTATCTATCCATCCAAACACACACACTTTCCTGAAAATTATTCAGCTCTAGAATTTATCAACTCCAGAACCTTTCAGTAGCTAATTAATTTCTTATTGGTTCATTGCATTTGTATCCCTTTTCTTTGCTGCAAGGATTCAGTCCATTGGTCCTTGAAGTAATACTCACAGGATTAAGGAGAACAGTCAGAAAAAGCTCGCCTCCATTGATGATTTTATCCAATTCACTGGAGCCACCTGGGTATTCATTATAGAATATGGTATGTGTGAATAACCCACAAGTTTGCCGTGGGAGAACCTAGCAAGAAATGGGGAAAAAAGAACACAAGTAGCAAACTAAAAGGAACCTACAAGCCACTGCACTATTTCTTATAAATCCCAGATAAGTTGTTCAAGGTGTTCTGACTTTCCTAAGAATGAGTTACAGATTGCTTGACCAGTGTTACCTTATTATGCACTGCCATCTTCTACAACTATTTTACACTGCCTAATTACTACACCACTTTCCCCCAAAACATGCAGGACCATGAAGCATATAGGACTAAGGAGTCCCACAACAGAAATGGGTATGCTCAACAGGTCTCACACAAATTCATTCCATCAGATTTAGAAAGTCTGCATTAATTCCTTCTGATAGACATTTGGGTACTGGGGTCTTGTTTGCAATGCTTCTAAAAACAAACCTCCTACTGTTTTGTATTCACTTGTTACTGACTTCAGGGGTGGAGAAGCCTTTATGCCTGTGGGCGGAATTGGTCCTGGACCATCATACTGGGAGTTTGATGCATTTTCACACATAAATACAGTCATTCATATAAGTGCATAACTGTTCTTTCTTTCTCTCACACACACCCCTTCAAGCCCACCAGCTCAGACTGAGTGCCTATTTTAGCACCTCTCAACTTTAAATGAGAGAATATATAATTTCCAATCTGCTGCAGAAAGGAAATAAGCCCCAATTCCCATCCCTACACCGTGGGAAGGTAGGGAGCCAGCTAAATGGAGAATCAGTGTTTCCTGGTATCTGATTTATATTAAATTTATCAGGCTAAAATATGTTTCATTACGAACACTGGGGTGCAGAGGGCCTCTGAAGCTAATGGAGTTGATTATAAATATGAAAATGAACACATTTTCAAATATTTCATTAGCTGTCTAATTTAAGGAGCACCAAAAAGTCTGTCTTGAGGTATCTTTCCTTTTATCCGCTGAGGTTCTCTGTTCATGCATGATTTTCTTGAGTTCTACTCTATATGTGAGCTATTGCTGAAGTACTTAAACGCTGTTTTATTTCTGGCTTGGTATAAGTTCTATAATGCTGGGTCAGCAGAGTTTGCCTCCCTGACCTAATTCAGGGTACCCTACGCAGAATCCTGATATGTGTGCAGCTATGAAGTAACCTATATTCCATACTCGTATTAGGCACTGTAGCAGGGGAGATTGGAAAAACTAGACACATAACTGAGATCACTTGCTTTGCCTTGGCAAAACCATTGCCTATCATTGCCTGGCCCATTTCAAATGCTGCAAAAAGACTAAATGTACATTCTGAGATGCTCAAAAGGTACAATATGCATCTGGTACGTGTGTTTGGAATGCAGTGAGAGGACGCAGAAGAAACTTTGTTCCAGTTCCTTCTTTCCCAAGAGAGAAAAATCTCTTCCTATGTTCATTTTATCCTTTTTCACAAGTCTGAGAACAGAGGCAAAGTACACAGCAGCTGCTCCTTTTGACCTGATTAGGCCATCTCAAGAAAAAAAAAAATCACCAATGGCCATCAGAAACTTTCATGAACAGTAGACAGTCCATCATAACAACAAGGACAGGTTCTGGGGAAAGTTCACCAAATGATTAGCTGTTTTTTGTCTAATAGATTCACTAGGGATTATTTAAAAGGCCATACCCTTGGAAATTATAAAGGATTCCTTAGTTTCTAGTATTCTTATATGCTCTAGCTAAATTTTATTATAATTTTCTATTGTAAAGTAATAAGCTCTCTCTCTCTCTCTGTTCTCTTGAATGGAACACAGAACTTCAGATGATTTTCAAGCTGCAATTATGAAGTTCT